GAATTAGGAGTCAGATTCTAAAAGGAACAAATATTATTCCACAACAACATCTAACCAAAATGAGAAACAATGAACATAAATCTACCCATAATCTCTCACTGAGGTCATGTGACCAACAGTCAACCACAACAGAATGCTACATAGCTCCCACCTGAAGGGCTAGTCGTCCCTGACAGCCCATTCACACAACGTAGTCCTGCAGGCAATCTGGCTGATGATGCTGGCGCACAGGATGTTGGGGCACAGGACGGTGGGGACAATGAGGTGTGACAGGTGAGTCGGCAAGAGAGGTGTCATCTCCCACACCAGCAATCACTGGAGCATGGGGGCGGTACGGAGCGAGCCTGTTCTGATGCAGCACAACCAGGCAACCCTGGTTAGGAAGCTTCACCCAGTATACCACCTCAGACAGACGTCACAATTTCAGCTGCCCCTGCCATTGACTGCAAAGCTTAGGAGAAACCCATACTTCATTGCTAGCATCTGTGTCTACAATGAAGGGCAGTTGTTCTTGGAGGTAAGCCAATATTGGAGCTTATATGAGAGCTGCTTTGAGATGCTCAAAGACTTTAGCACTGTTGCTACTCCAGACAAATGGGCGGCCTTCATCAGTTAGCCAGTGAAGAGGGCTGGCGACAGAGGCAAAATTCCTGACAAATCGTCAGTAGTAGGAAGCCAGGCCTAGGAAACTCCAGAGCTCTCGAACAGTGGATGGGTTTGTCCAGTTTTGGACCGCAGTTACCTTGATGGGGTTTGTGGCAACTCCCTGGGTCCCTGGGTGGGGACCACATGACCCAGAAATTATGTTTCCCATCGTAACAGGTCGCACCTGGCCTGGTTCAGCTGGAGTCCAGCTTGGCAGATGACACCAAAAATCTCTCTTAGGTGAACTAGAACACGGTCAAAATTACTGGCGTGCACCAGCAAGCCACTGAAATACACTACACAGTGGCTTCGGGGGATATCCACCAGCACCCTCTCATAAGGTGCTCAAAGTGGTCAGTGCATTGCAGAAGCCGAATGGCATCACACGGAATTGCCACAGTCCTTGTCCCAAGGTAAAGGTAGTCTTTGATTTAGCATCAGGGTCAAGCTCTGCTTGTCAGTAGCCACTGCACATGTCGAGGGAGCTAAACCAACTGGACCCACTGATCTGGTTGAGGGCATCATCGATTCGTGGCAGGGGGTATGATTTCTTCTTGGTGATGGCATTGAGGTGGCGGTAATCCACACAAAACTGCCAACACCCCTCTTCTTCTGCACCAGGACCACGGGTGCACAGGTGTCAGATGGCTCAGTGACTCCTTCGGCCTGCATTTGGCGAATCATGTCCTCCGCCACTTGTCTTTTGGCTAGGGCCAGCCAATGGGGGTGTAGGCAGATGGACCGTGCTGATCCAGTGTCAATGGAGTGCTGTACCAGCCCCGTTTGTGTGTAGTCCTCATCTCTGGCACCAAAGATGTCTTTTTACTAATCCAAAACACTCCTCAGCTGAGCACTTTGCCCCTGAACAAGGCCACCACAACAGTGTTGCCAAAGATCAGCTACAGCAGCCTCATTTGCAAGTAGTTTTGGTGTGGCCAGCTCCAGCAAGGGGACTTCATTGGCCAGTGACTGGACAGCCTGCCAATCCATTGCACATCCTCTGGACTTCTCCCTTTTCTCCTGGAGGCCAACCTGCAATTTGTGGAAAAATAGTAATTATTTTAAAGTTTAAAAACTCTTAATAAATAGGAGAAACGGAGACATCTCTATTTAGCTCAAATCGGAGCGCAAGGTTTATTCTTTCTGCAGAAAGGAGATGCTCACTGAACGAAATCAGAATGAGCACTGAAGACAAAAGAGGCAGTACACATTTTTATACATGTTTCGTGCGTCACAGCAGAAGGGAGTACATGGTTTCTCACACTGATATCAGACACAGGCTCTTGGTCAGTACTAGGTGTTCCTTTCCTTGCGGAGCTGG